TACTTTGTGGTCACGTGCTGCAGAATGTCATGAACTTGTTTTTTCTTTCCACCTTGCAAATCCATGCAAAGTGGAAAGAAAATACTTTTTCTTATTGTGTCCCCTTGCAATAAATGTGCAAGTAAACTCTGGTTTATTTTGTGTACAGTCATAGGAGTTGCCTTTCCATTGACCTTAAAACTACTAAAAATGGAATTAGTTTAATAAAAACCTGTCAGTGGAAACACGTTTTTGTATCACAAGTAACATAATCAATAACTGGATGTTACTACTGGCAGAAAAAATGAAGACGACAGGAAGTAATTTGAGGCTGATGGTATATTTATTAATAATTTGTCACATGAACAAACGTATTCACATGTGATTTTAATGGGAACACTGCAATTGCAAAATTGTGTTTTTCAGACATTAGCAGAATATCAGTACATTTTGGAAACAGCTGGTGACAACTAGCTGCGTTTAAAGTCCTCATTGAAAACGTGTTTATGGGTTTTTAACAATATGGTGCAAGAAAATAGTCGAAAATGTATCTGACAGTTGGGTGTTCATGGTTGTTTTTCTAGTTTCCTTCAAAGGAAAAATAAAGGTAGCAGGAGACTGGACTGCACATGACTATCAGCAGGCACGAGGCTCCATAGCCAAACCTACCAGTAGGTGGCGGTATTACCCCGTTAATGTAAATAAAAATAGTGTAAATAGTTTGGATGTCTCTGTTATTTCTTTACCGACATAAGACGAAGCTAACTCACAAGTAACTTTGCAGAGAAATAAGTACTAGCAGATTATTGCACTTATAATAATCCGCCAGCCATGTTCAAAGTGAAAAAAATCTGCCATTTTTCTTCAATATTAAGACATTTTGACTTAAAACAAGCTCTTATAGCTTGTTGAAAAGTTAGTTATGTCTTATTTCAAGTAAAGTAGGATATTTGGACGAGAAACTGCTTTTCAATACAGGAAGCAATAATATTGATAACAAAAATATTTTACTATATATTTGATTCAAATTTTAACTACATTCACCAATTTAATTATTTCATTGAGTAATAAGTGAAGAACTTTAGAATGTTTCATTATTTATATGAGACATATGTTTCCAGTTTTATTAAATTGATCACATAACTATAATAAGTTATTTGTGGATTTATGTCACTCTGACACTTTTATTGCCATATTATCTGGAGCCTGTTGTAAGGAGAAAACGAAAAGAAAATGATTGAGTTGTTTTTAGAAGCAGCTGAGACCCAAATGGAAGCATGAAAAGGTGTAAAATGTTAATTTTAATCTCGCTCAATGCATCATAAATCCACATTCTTATCTTCAGGGCACTGAATTTATTCTGCCTGGTTGTTTTAAAACTCTTTGATTGTTTTCCTCCCTCAGCACTCCTCTGTGGTTCAGCTAAATGTCGGGGGTCACCTGTTCAGCACCACACTGAGCACGCTCAGAAGACACCCAGACTCCAAGGTGGCGGAGCTGTTCGGCTCGCAGCCCAAAGTCAGTACCGACGCTCAGGGACGCCTCTTCATCGACCGCGACGGTTCCCACTTTGGAGCCATTCTGGAGTTCCTGAGGTCGGAGAAGCTGCCGACGGAAAACATCCGGGAGGTCTGAGGCGCACACGATGAAGAGTTGCTTTTAAATCGCTCTGTAATAGGGCTGCAACGATTAATCAAATTAATCAGTTATTGGAATAATGATCCACTTATTTAGTAATGAATTAATCGTTAATTGGAGTGTACAGACTCAAAATAGGGTAAATAGGGAACAACAAACTCAGAGCAGCAATTGAGTTAAAAATGTACAGAAAATATAAACATTTTGCATTTAGGATAAACAAAAACATCTTTTTCTGTAGATATTTTCTACCCACATCTCCTTAAGTGACAGTTTTAGCTTGTGTGTGTGTGTGTGTGTGTGTGTGTGTATGAGCACAATGTGGTGGTAAGCTTGTGAGGTGAAACGTATTTTTTAGTTGTTTTTTAGGCTCTAATAGTTTTCTAGGCCGTTATTTAACTGGTCGAACGGGAAATTGGGAGGAGAGAGAAGGAAATAGCAGCAGCAGATTCCCCAGGACTGGGAATTAAACCCAGGTTGACAAACAAAACCTAAGTTACATCATAAACAAAACATAATTTGCAGTTTGTTGTAAAGCTTTTTTATAGCAGCAGACGACTCATGAGCTCAACAACACAAAAGCTTTATCTTTATTACAAAGTATTCATCCAAGAATCGATTTCTTCCTGTAATAGAAATTTTCTCATTAAATTCTGTTTTCATGGATTGTTCTTCTTTGTTCCCTTTTCTACAGTTTTTTATCTTAAATTGCACTGTTTTGTTAAGTTTGTTATATGATCTTGAATCCGTTATTCTAAATAATACAAAGATCACACAGTAGCTTTTATCTTTGATAAAACCTGTTTGTTTCTTATAACAAACAAACCAGATATAACAAGTTTGGGCTTCTTCAGGGTCCGAACTGAAAAGGTCCAAACGTGTTAAATCAGCTTTATGTTTGGTATAAAAACAGAATTTATCAAAGAAAAAAGGTAAATGGACTGAACTTATGAAGGGCCCTGCTAGTCATGTTGGCCACTCAAAGTGCTTCACACTGCAGTTGCATTTACACACCGACATGCAGGTTGGGGGGCAGCTTGCCACTAAGTGCCCCGCCCCAGGGCAACTCAGCATGTGGCTGAGGAAGCTGGAATCGAACTTACAACCTTCTGGTCACAAGACGACCACTCACCCTCAGAGCCACAGCCGCCCTGAAAAGGCCACCGCATGATCCTTTTGCTAATCTGTTTTAAAATTTGGTTTTAAACAGCATAACAAACAGCAATTCAGTGCAAAGGCTGACACAGCGGTTATTTGTGAAAAACTGGAGCAGAGGTGCCAGCAGCAGTGTGATTGCAGGGGTTCCCCCAGTGAATTATAGGCCTTGCGGCCCACCATGCTTCACTAGCCCCTCTGCCAGGCTAAGCCTTTGTTGTTTATGTTTTTAGGAAGATAAAAAACAAAAAAAAGGTCTCACAGAGCAGCCCTCTCCCACTCAACTCCTTCAGACTAGCCAGCAGCAATTAGCAAACACCTGGTGGAACTGAACATCAGCTGAGCTCATTAGGAGCTACTTCTCAGTGAAACGCTGGTAAAAATGTTGTCAAGAGGTTAATAGAGGAACCATGTTGTGAGGACTTCCCGAAGGCAAAGTTTCAGAACGAGCAGGATTTTTTAAAGAGACAGCGACCCAATTTCAAGGTGTTCAGCTACAACAAAAGCGAAGATAGTTACTCCATTGAGCTATAAAATGGCACTATGTGCCTGGAAAACACATAATTCTGCCCCTTTAAATGAAAAATCTGCAAAATCATCAGAATAATCGATAAATGAATCGATAACTATATAGCCGTTAGCTCCAGCCCTGCATTGTAACCCGTGTGTGTGTTCAGGTGTATACAGAGGCGGTCCACTACAACATCAAGCCGCTGATGAAACGTCTGGAGGAGACGCCTGAGCTGTTTGGGGAACTGGTGGGGAGACAGCAGTTCCTCTCCAGGGTCCCGCACTACAAAGAAAACATCGAGGTCAGCTACTTCCTGGTTTCTCATCTCCTTTTATCCCAGAACCAGTTTCCTGCTTACTTCATTTTGTTTCTGATGTAGAAAAATGAAAGTTTACATTTACAACAACCTCAGTCAAGTGGTTCCTAACATCACAGGTAGATGAATGACAAAACAAGAAACAAAATTAAGTTTGATATAAACCAATAATAATAAAAACAATAGTAAAATTTGGCAGTAAAGTAATAAAATAGTATGAATGAAAACCAAGACACACTTAATTTCAGCTGCAGCAATTTTCTCAAAACTTGAGTCAATTAAGTACTAATTCCCCGCCTTTTTTAAACTGTTTATAAATTAGGAGCAAGGCAGCGCTACTGCCTGTAGCTTATTTATTGTTGCCATAGAAACTCCATAGCAACTCTTATGAGAGCTAGTTAGGAAAGAGTATTCTACTTTATTCTGTTCTAGTGCATTTAATTAATAAAAGAACTAAGTCAGATTTTTATGCAACTAAAAAAATGAACTTACAATTAGCTACACATCAGCAAGAAGCCCTTATAAATGTTAAAATCTTCTGTTAGGTTCTGATCCGTATTGCCAGAGCGGAGGCAGTGGCCGCGCGCCGCTCCACCATCCTCATCTGCGTCATGCGGACGGAGGACGACCTGGGTTTCTATGACAACGCCGTAAACAGCCTGGAGGCCGGAAAGGAGTCTGCGGTGACGTTCGGGCCGTGGAAGGCCGAGCCGTCCGTCAGAGACCTGCTGGACTGCGTGAAGATGGACATCGAGAGTCGCGGCTACAACGTTAGCATCGAGGCTTACGTGCCCGAGCGCAGCTTCCTGTCCAAGAGCTACGACTTCTTCTACAAACTCACCTTCACCTGGTGGTGACGAAGCGCCCGCGGAGCTGTCTGTGGGTTCAAACTGAACGACTGCACTTTATTGCTTAATATATAATGAGCTGCACCTTGTGGTTTTCTTACGGAATAATGTTCAATCGAAATAAAATACACCGATCTTTTTTTAAAGGGGACCTGTTATGCAAAATTTACTTTTCTTCTTTATTTCTTTTTTTTAATTCAATGTTTGTCTTTAATGCTGCTAAAACCACCCAAAGAGGGGTTTTTTGGAAAAAGCTAATGTGTTTTTTTTTTTTTTTTTTTTTTTTTTTTGTTTTGTTTTTTTTTTGTTTGTTTTTTTTGGTGTCTGGAAAATAAGCCATTAAAAACAACAACAACAACAAAAACCCTCCTGATTGTTAAAGTTGCAGTATGTAACTTTTATAAAATATATGATTTTTAAATATTTGTTAAAACTATCACCATGTCTTGACATGATATGAGACACATGATGTGCTAAAAGATCCATCTTCCACCTTCTTTCTGAGCTATTAGCATCTGAAGAAATGCACTTCTCCCGACCAAAAATAACTAATCAGAGCCAGTAGGAAGGTCTTAGCGTTGTAAATCAGACTCATGAACGTGCTGCTAAATGTACTAATGGCGGAGAAACAACTTACTGTTACAGGAAAACTGTTCATGCTAACTAGCCTTAACATTCACAACAAGATCTGCTGATGGGGAGCTGTACTGTAGCACAGAACGAGATGCTCTGATTGGTTGTTTCTGGTTAGCACTGGGAGAAGGCTTAGAAGCTTGATTTTTTTTTGACAGATTATCTTTCTCATACTCTCAAGATATAGTGACACTTTCAACAGATATTTTAAAATATATATTTTTTATAAAAGTTACATGGCAACAGCACTGTGCTGTTACCTAGCAACCCAAGCTGAGATCCAGCATGTTTGGTCAGCTGGTTTACCACTGACAAAGACAATCGTTTTTTTTTTGTCGACTTATCATTCAGAAACGACTTTCTGCATTCTTGTTGGTTGTGCAGGAGGCTCCACTTCTGCCATTCAAAGGTGTACGGTTGTATAATTGTGCAGTCATTTTCATGTGCAAGTGTAAATGTTGAGTTTACAAAAGGGCGTGGCTAGATAAGCAGCTTATTTGGATTTAAAGTGACAAGAGGTCCTAAAACAGCTAAAAATAATTTTGTGATGATGTGATGAACATGTTTTGTGTAGGCCATAGATTTATCCTAACCTTTTCAAGGAAGCATAATAGGTCACTTTTAAGTTGGGCAATATTCGTGCAAAGTGTTTTATGTCTGTCGTTTTAACGTCAAGCCTACAGTCATCCTCTTCAAAATGTGTCGCTGACGTCACACAGCTGTTTATTTCATCGCTTTGAACATTTTCACAGCTTTCTGAGGGGATTTCACTGTCTGCAGACAATACTGCGTCAAACCCTCGACACTGGGCAATCCGCAGCTCACTCACAGATGAACCAAAATGTGTGAAGAGGCAAAAGATGAATCGTAAGCAGAGCAGCAGCCCCGGCGTCGGCCACGTAACATTTAAAAGCTGCCAAACCACATCCTGTCAGGATGAGAGGGGCAGAAATCTGCTGGTGTCCAACGGGGCATTGAATGCACCGCCTTAATTCTAGAACAAGACGTCGTGTCCTGTTAAGTGAAAGGGGAAATCACAGAGTCTGAATGTAATGTTGATTCAAACGTTTCAGTGGAGGAAATAAATATATTCTGGTGTCTCTTCTGCTGATTTAACTTCTTAGAAACAGTTAACAACAATGAATGCACAGGCTTTAAAAAACACATAGACACTTTGACTAAGAATAAGCGTCATAAAAAAAGTTTTACTTTCCAGTTGAAATGCCACCAGTGGAAAATCCTGGACTGTTTGTAAAAAAAAAAAAAAAAGAAAAGGAAAGAGCATTTTCATGTAAAAGAATCTGTAAATGTGTTTCATGTAATCAAATTAAGTCTATCCAAGCAGATATATTAACTTTATTAAGGTGTCGTGCTAAACAAACAGAAGTAAAGTAAGTTTGACAAACTTAATTTGAATACATGCAACAATTGAAGGCAATTTTTTAAACCTGGAGCTACATGCTCTTTTTTCAAAGAGCGGTGTCCTTTGTCATGTGGGGTAAAATCACAAAGTCAAAAGTTTTTGTGAACTGGGGAAAAAAAAGCAAATAAAATAATTTATTTTTTTCCATCATAGATCAAAAACTGGAAAGGATATTCCACATTAGCTGTATTAAATCAAGTTTAATATAAAAATAAATCAAGTTTTTTGGATTTCATTGAACAAATTTATTTGTAGTTATAAAAACAGGATTTGATATATTCATTGTTACATAAATAAATAACTGTTCTGGATGCAGTAAAGTTGCCTTTTCTGTGAATGATTCTGGAGAGACATA